TTTGGTTTTCTTCGTTTTATTTTTGCTTTAATTGGTTTTTTCTTTTCTTTCTTCGTTCTTATTAGTTTCTTTCTCGATGTTACTGGTTTTTTTTCTTTCCTTTCTCCATATTTCTTTGTTTCTTTGTTTCTAGTTATCGATTTTTTTATCTTTGTTTATTTCTCAGTTTTCATTTTTGCATTGGTTTTCTTTGTTTTTGATTAAGTTTCTTTTTTTCTTTGTTTTTTCTCAATTTTCATTGATTTCTTTTTTGTTCAAAACATATCAACTTATTTCAGTGCACATTCAGCATTTTTCTTATACATTAAAAATATATTTTTAAAATGTGTTTAAAATTTTGAAATAAATGACTAACATTTTTTGAAAAAAAAATATTGTTGTATGTCTCCATTTTTTTCATTCACATTCTACATTCCTGGTATATATATAATACATTTTCTAATACTTGTTAAAAACTAAAATACAAATTAATATTTTTGAATACATGTACATATATCAACATTTTTCAATACACGGTGTACATTCTTTCACACACAATCTACATTTTTCGTAAACATCAGGAACAATGTTTTACATGTTTAACATTTTTTACATACATAATCGACTTATAAAATATATGTTTTTGATTTCTACTTTATATTTAATATACGATGTACATTTTTTGTACTCCCTCCATTTCTTTTTACTCCACGTATAAAATTTGGTCAAAGTCAAATTACACGATATTTGACCAAATTTATATGAAAAAATATGAACATCTATAATATTAAAACTATATAGTACGAAAATACATTTCATGGTGCATCTGATAATATTTATTTCATATTGTGAATGATGATATTTTTTAAATAAAGTTGGTCAAACTTTACAAAGCTTGATTTTGACCAAATCTTATATGCAGACTAAAAAGAAACGGAGGGAGTATACATCCTGCCCCCCCCCCCTCCCGAGGTTGTAGCTCGCAACGGCCGCCATTGCAATACCGCGCCAATCGCCGCCTGCACAATAGGACTCGCCGTCCGTGATTCGCAACATCTCACCCCATCACCCTTGCCGTGCTCGTCGGCGCACTTGTAGCAAATTACATCGCCTGTTGTAGCAAAAAACGACTATGGTTGTAGTAAACGTCATCATCGTTGTCATGGGTCACAGCTCATGAAGTTCGAAGCTTTTTTTAAATGCCAGTTGTAGCTTTTGTAACTGTCAGTTGCAGCTTTTTCGTTGCCGTCCACGGCTGTCATCTTTATGGTTGAAACTTTTAAGGATGAATATTTTTTCATTGCCGGATGAAGCTTTTTTTATCACCGGTTAAAATTTTTCGTTGTCGTCAATAGCTTCCGTTGTGTACGGATTGAAACTTTTTTATCGCCCGTTGAACCTTTTTTGGTTACTGGTTGTAGATTTTTTTTGTCGTCGGTTGCAACACTGGCCATCTCTCCTGGTGCTTGATTTTTGCTGAAACGGGGGCAAGCGAGATGTTACAAGCGTCAGGTGCGCCCGACAAGCTGCAACATCGGGGATGAGCGGCGGTGAGCATGCTGGCAAGCTGCGGTCATCGCCACTAGAGCTACAACGGTCGCCACAGGAGCTGCAACTGCAAGGTGTGGCTGTTGCATGGGCGAAGGCGGTGATGAGGACGGCCTTGCGAGGGCTGGACTGACGAATTGGACAGCCGGCGAGGACGGTTTGTGAGAGGCAGCGACCAGAGATGAGAACGATAGCGAAGGCACAAGAGGGGGAGAACGCATGCGGCCGGCGGGGCGAAATGGACAATGAGATGTAGGGGGGTTTCTTCGTATGCGTGCGTTGACAAAGATGAGGGGCATCAGACGGTTCCCAACGCCCAAATCAGACGGGTGAGGCCGACCAGCCTAAATTTAGGACATTTAGGTTAAAATAGAAGTGGCATGAATAGTGATAAATAAGGTGGGCGAATCCCCTAAAAAACTCAAAAAAGAAAAGTAATGTGTGTGAAGCGGTGAGAAGGATTCGTAGCCATTGAAGCCCGTCTTTGATAACTGAAGATAGGAC